ATTCTTACTTGTGAAGTAAGTAGCTGATCTCACGAACTAAAGTGTGGTGACACTTAAATGAACACGTGGATGTTTTGTTATAGAACAAAATATTGGAGACCCGCTAAGAGATTCCACATGGATAACTATCTGAGTATCAGTGGTTAATCTCTAACGTTCGGTAGTGGAATTGGTCCTTTGACTTGAGGTCGTCATGGTACCTTATATGAGGACAGTCATACTTTAGCGGTGTTGGATATTGTTCTAAAAAGGGCCGCTAATACGACATCGTTCGGGTACGTCAAGAATCGTATGAAGGTTGTGATTGATCAATAAAGGATTCGTCGCTTTTAGATAGTAGGAGATTATGATCTGCGTTTCATTCAATTAAGTTGATGAAATCCTTGGCCAAGGTGTACTCATAAGTCGAAAAGGAGTTTTCGATTTATATTGACTTAATAGTGGAGTGAAAGATATGATCGATGATCGAGATTGACACAATTTCATATCTCGTAATTGATCGGATCATATTAACGAAGGGATTATAGTTTCACGGTAAACGAACGAATTTGGTTTTGTCATACCACGTGACATTTCCCGTCACATGTATTGCCCTGACACATTGCTCGATGTCAATCAGGAACGACGAGTGTGAATTGACGATAAATTAAAAGGGTGTTTTAATTTATCAATTTTGATTAGATCAAAATAATATTTCACGTCGTTAGGTATCATGGTCGGGAACCTAATGGGTCGCACACAAAAGAGAATTGGAAGATTGCAAATTGCCAATTGGTTAATTTAACAATCGTTGGATAAATTAATTAATTGAATTTGTTAATTATATTCTCGAATTAATTAATTGGATTAATTAATTCACGGATCGGGTTTAATTAATTGGATTAATTAAATATTGGACCGGACCGGGCCGGGTCAGTTTGGATTTATATAAATACATAGCTAGGGTTTGAGGTCCATAAGGTTTTCATTATTCTTGCTGGCACAAGAGAAAACCCTAGCAGTTGCAGTCTATTCTCTGTGTGGATTTCATTGGAGGCTGGACAATTGGACAGCTGTGGGTGGCAGTTCAAGCTGCTGGAAAGGAATAACGCGAAGGAGTTTGCAAATTAAAAGAAAAAGTATATTTCTTATCACAGTTTTTATCTAAATACAAAGCTGAATCCTGAATGGGAATTGAAATTTGTTAAATTTCACTGTACATGTTTAAGTAAATTCCCAACACCAACATCTGTGGCAGCATCCGTCACCATACCGTCCACATATCCTGTATCCGTCATCTATTCTGACCCTGAGTCATTGCCCATTGCTCTCCGTAAAGGTACACGAACTTTTGTAACTAGACATCCTATAAGCCACTATGTTACTTTTGATTCGTTGTCACCTTCTTTTTCTTGTTTCATATCTCAGCTTTCTAGCATATTTATACCTAAGACAGTGATAGAAGATTTATCTGATCTTGAGTGGTAAAAGGCTATGGAATTGGAAGTGGCAGCCTTGTATGAAAATAAAACTTGGGAACTCGTCCCGTTATCGGCTGACATACTTCATGTTGGTAAAAAATGGGTCTTTGTTCTGAAATTCAATCCCGATGGAACTATTGATTGATTGAAAGCTTGATTCATTGTTAAAGGTTACACAGAGACCTATGGCATTGATTATGATGAAACATTCTCTCCAGTTGCTAAGATCTTCTAGTCGGGTTTTGATTTCTATCGCTGCTAACCTTAATTGGCCTTTGTTTCAACTGGACATTAAAAATGCATTCCTTTTATATGGAGAAACCACATGGGTTTATTGCTCAGGGGAAGTACTAGAACTATGTTTGTAAGTTGAAAAAGACTCTATATGGGTTAAAACAATCACCAAGGGCATGGTTTGAGAAGTTTTCTGAAGAGGTTTTAGAATTTGGTCTTCAGAGGTATCAGATAGATTACTCGATATTTCATCTACAAACTGGTACAGGTTATGTTATCCTGATAGTTTATGTAGATGATATTGTAATCACTAGTGATGATGCAGATGAGATTGTCTAATTGAAGCAGTTTCTACAAAAATATTTTCAACCCAAACATTTGGGCAAGCTCCGATACTTTTTGGGTATTGAAGTCGCTAGGTCACGAGCATGTATCAATTTATCTCAAAGAAAATATGTACTTAATCTGTTAGATATTTCCTATGCAGTGAGCGTCGTTAGTCAGTTCTTGGATGCTCCTCGAGTTCGACATTGGGAAGCTGCGATACGTATTATTCGATTCTTGAAAAAAGCTCCAGGTCTTGGATTATTGTACAAATCGAATGGGCATATCAAAATAGAAGGGTTTACAGATGCAGATTGGGTGGGGTCTTCGTCAGATAGACAATCCACTACCAATTTTTGTACTTTTCTCGGAGGTAATCTTGTCTCTTGGAAAAGTAAGAAATAAACTGTAGTAGCAAGATCAAGTGCAGAAGCAGAATATAGGGCAATGGCTTATACAGTTAGTGAGTTGACATGATAGCAGCACTTTCTTCAAGAAATCAATTTCTCACCTTCCACTCCTATTCCAATATTTTGTGATAATCAGGCTACTTTACATATTGCGTCCAAGCCAGTCTTTCATAAAATGACTAAACATATTGAAGTTAATTGTCACTTTATCCGAGACAAAATAGTAAGTGGTGATATGTGTACACCATTTGTGAAGATAGGAGACCAACTTGCTGATATGTTTACAAAGTCGTTGAATGGTAATCATTGAAGTTTCTTTTTTCCAAGCTAGGCTTATATGATATATATGCTCCAATTTGAGGGTGAGTGTTAAGGAAGTAAATCACGTAAGCTAGGCAAGAGTATAACTAGAGTTTATTATATTTCCATAATTACCAAGTTTCCATATGTGTATATACTCTCGTTTTTCCTATATAATAAAAGAAGATGAGAGGGAAGAATATAACCTTCTTTTCTATTGCTTATACAAAATTCTCACATAAACTTGAACTCAGGGAATTTAGAGGGCACACTTAGCATTTTCACATTGGAAGTTGGCCAAATAATTAAAAAATAAATAAATAAAATCAACAATGCTAACAGCGACTTGTGCTAAATTTCCCTGTACAGGGGGAATAACCGGTTTCGAAACTTTCTATCGTGCTAATAATGTGTTATGAAAATGGAGAAAAAGAAAAGAGAAAATAAAAGTTTACAGACGTATGTGTATTATAGTTAGAACCAAAGTCCCATATTTATAAGAAATGATTAGGGATACAATGATAATAATTTTTAAAGTTTCGAGATATAATTAACATTCACTAATAAACTTATCATTTACAACAGATTTGACTTATTTGATATATGCTATTTTTTTTTTTTTGCTAAAACGTAATTTTAAATCGAACAAGATCGAAAAAAGTGATTTGAATTCATTTGATTCAGAAATTGAAATGGTTTGGTTTTTTGAAAAAATTCCAAACTATTTTTAGTGGTTTGATTTGAAAATTTGTCACAAATATCCAAATCTAACCGTTTAGTAGGAGTTAATTCTAAAAGATTTTTCTTGATCATCAAAGATTAGTTGCTATTTTCTAGGGACTGATAAGGTGGTTTCCTCGTCAACACATCACTTGCTAATTTCTAAGAACTGATAAGGTGATTTCCTCTACACATCCTTCATTAGATAGATATACGAGTGTAAGTTCAGATGCCATGCTTCATCACAAGTCTTAGGCGGATGAGTCTGTCTATTACGCGGTGACACACGAAGATCAAGGAATGACAAGAAGGGAAAAATCGATGACAGATAGACAATGGCCTTCGCGTGACAAGACGACGAATGTGTTGCTGTTAGATCCTACAATGGCCTTCATCATGTTTTGATTTTTTGATTCTTTGATTTTTTTTTATTTATTATTATTATTTTTTTTAACAATTAATGTCATGTGCCGAACATCAAGGTCACAATAAATTCCACTAAAATTGTCCAGTATCGTGACGATGAAAAAGGAAAATAATCATTGGATTATACTGCTTGAACAGGGCCACATGTGCCTAGTTCCAACAAGGGGGCTAAGTGGTGCCCCCGGCCTGTTCAAGTAGCAAGTTCCATAATCATTACTGAAATATGTTGCCATCAATGATGTGGAAACATGTGGTATTACATACTCCACAATTGATGTGGCAAAATCAATGGGCTACATATCTCTTGCCCATAGATCAGTTCTGTATATATTGGATAGAGAACAATAAAATGTAATCTATTTAATGTTTGTTGCATATTTCCATCATATATATTTTTACAACCATAGTTAGTAATGCAAAATAATTAATAATTTTAAGATTTATCAGAATGTGACATTAAGAGTGTGTTTGATTGACATGGAAAATATTATCTAGAAAAGAAAATATTTTCCATCTTTTGTGGAAAATAAAAACCACCTCTACCCAAGGAAAATATTTTCCTTAAAAACAAGGAAAATTAGGCATATTTTCAAAAGTTGGAAAATGTTTTCCATGGAAAAAATAGCAATCAAACACTCCAAGTAGAAATTTCGACGGAAAACTGATATTTTCTATAGAAAATAAATGTAATCAAACACACTCTAATAGTAGTTACTATCAATTGTACCGTAATTATTTTTCCTTAACACTTTGGATGTTTAAAATGGCTAAAAGTTGTTGATTCAATGGGGTGACCTGCAATTAGATCGTTCGAATATCACCATAAAAGCTACATTGTGCATGTACTAAATGGTGAATAAGTGTACGGTTTCTTTAAAACGAATCCCCATGCCTCATATCAGCTGCCCTTTATACACAACCTTGTCACTCGTGATAGTTCGAATATCAGCATAAAAGCAACATTTTTTATTCTTTTCCAAAAGTTATGTACTGTATTGGAATTTCTTCAAGATTTATTGAGATATTTGTATTAGGTAACATCAATCAAACAAATGCAGGTTACCATCAAAGGAAAAAAAAATGGATATGTATTTAACAATACCACAACCAGTAGACTCGTTCTAGCTATTGCTCAATAAATCTCAGTTTTATTAAATCCCAAATCATGCATATCTTTTGTTTTCCACTAAATTAAACACTAGAACTGAATTGGAAGTTGGAGAATTAGAATACATGCCCTTTAATTTCAATAACTCATTCAGTAATCTAGTTTTATTACATGGCATATTTCAGAATGAAACACAAAAAGCTGATACGCTGTAAAGCATGGAAGTGAAACCATCCATTTTTCGATTTTACTTTTTTATTTTGCTTTGTGATTAGTTATTATGCTTTGTGATCCTTGAAGTGAATTCCGTTGCCTTCATTAGCCTTCCTGTTGATAGAAAGATGGACTCCTGGATTTTGATGAGTGAAAGAACTATTGAAGAAAATGGAATTGTTTACTCCCTGAACGTTGCTGTTCACATAAGCTGTCGTTGGTGGTGATTGCATAGCCATTGCCTTCTTATTTTTCTCCTTGTTTGATCTTCCTTCTTCATGGCTGCTAGATTTTTCGCCTTCGGGTTTTGCAAGATTTCCATTCTTGTGAAGGCTTTGAGGGTTGGTTATAGAATGATTTTTGTTGCGGGAAGGACTCAATTCCATTACAGCTCCTTGGTTATCTCCTGCAAGTGTTATCATACTCATACCCAACTTTTCAGAATCAGATGTCTTCTTGTTAGGAACTTTTGCTTTTGGTGATTCTTTCCATCCACTGTAAGCAATGCTACTGTTATGGGAATTTGATTGCATCAGCTTTGGAAATTTTTCAATGGTTTCTTGAACCAGGACGTCTTTTTGGTCCACTTTAGTAGGTATCTCTGATTCGCGCTTGCTGTCTAACTTTAATTGAGAGGGAGGCAGTGTGAATGGAGATGGAGGGGGAGCCACCGGCTTCGGTTTAGGAGATTGGACTGGAGTTTTTTCCATTGCTTGGACTGTTTTTGGAGATGATTCTGGAGCCGCAGTTACAACTGGTTTAGGCACTGGAGACGCTTGCATTGAAGAGGATGGAGATTGAGTTTTCGTTTTAGGAGATTCGCGAATTGGAGAAGATGGAACTCTAACATTTGTGCTAGTTGGTAATGGTTCTTTTGGGATAGGAGAATTTGACTTTGTATTGATGATTGGGGATTTTGTCGTTGAAGAAATAGTGGTCTCCCGAGGTGGCGATGGAGCCGAAGGCTTTGGTGAAGGGGCTACAGTTGGGGGTGCCGAAATTGGAGACCTTCTTGGGGTAGAAGGTGCAGGCACTGGTGGTGTAACAGGGGACCTCCGTGGAGATCTAATCGGCGAAGGTGGTGCAGCAGCAGGAGGGGCTGTTGGCGGTGCAGCTGGTGGAGGCGGAGGAGTAGGCTCCCGAGACTGACTTATCTGAGCCACCGCAGATGGGGTCCTCCCCAGCTGACCAAATGGTGCCCGTGGCCGTGGGGTTTGGGTTGGAGGTGGTGCGGGAGTGGTTGTTGGCTGCGCAATTGGGGCTGCAGGTGCAGCTCGAGCCATAAAAGGCAAACGAGCCCATGCTGGACGAGGTTGTTGTGACATTGTACTGCGAATTTATCTTTACCAACGAAGATATGTTATCGGTACAATGATGAAATGTCTGATGCGTACTCTTAAATATATATAGTCCCAACAAAACTTGAATAAGAGAAAGAAATTGAAGAAAGGTATCAGATTCAGAAATAAAAGTTCCTCAGTTACGGTTGGTATTGCCTCTTGGAGGGGTCATTCAAGAGTAAAGTGCACTAATTTTTTAACCCATATTCAATCTCTTCAGCTTCACACATGTTCCTGTTAGTACTAATAGAAATCACAACTTTCTTTAACATAAATTACTTGTCAAGATTCTTACTTGAAAGAAGAATTCCAAGATCTTTCTGCATGGTTGAATTACCTTGCTTTTCAAGCATCAAATTCTTCATATTTTAGCACCCCAAAAGTCTCAATCCCGATCACGATGTAGGGAGATTATTATCAATGATCTAAATACCTAATTTTGTGAGTTTTTATGTCAAAATAGTGGTTTTTTAATCTTTCCCATTTCGGTGTATTTTTATGTAAGAATTTTGCACCAGTTTCTTGTCATCTTTTGTCTTCCTTAAGTGGCTAGACAAAGCGACTAGAATTATATAAAGATTATGGAAGTTGCTACTTGATAGGAGTTTATGGAAGTTATGGGTTTGAATTCTATTCAAATCACTCCCTTCAATCTACTTTAATATCTTGTGGGATCACCCTACATGGACGATCCACGACCTGTATTTTCCAACAACTACATTGAACTTGACGACTTGCAGCTAAAGTGAAATAGAAAAAGAGTGGAAATAAAAAGAACGGAAGGGATTTTAGCCGACCTCAAAAGCCTATGATTGGGTAATATTAAAAACTGTACCTGATTCTAAACACAGTTCTAGTTCTTTCCCTAAAACGAGGAATAAAATGAGAATAATTTGTTTTTAAAATGTCAACCCTTTCCCTTTAATGTGTGTAATTCTATGCTCATATTGCGGCTACTGATGGCGGCTCTAAGTAGAAGAATACAAGGAGATATTTCTGGCTGCTAAATTTAGGCGAATAATATGCTGTTTTCTAGTTTAACCTGAGAAATATGTTCTCAGAATCTTAATGTTAAAGGTTAAATCCCAACCTTAAAGACCTCCACCATTCCGTCCCTGGAGCATCGTGAGGGAAGTAAATCGCGATATGTGCATCAACAGGTCAAGGAACAAGAGTTTGTCGGTACACTGATACCTACAAACAGTCCAATTTCATATCTCAGTAATCGAACCCTCACACTGCAGCTGTCAGCAAGATTAAGACTACTTCATTCTTGTTTTTTGCACCACTGGATTATGCCGTGCATTGCATCTCATAAAGCTAAGTTGAACAAAAATAGAAACGGGAAATGAAACACGCCATATGATACAATAGAATACGTGAAACGTCCTAAGTTGGAGTTAAGATTTTCTAATCTATGTTGAACTCTGAAAAGTGGATTTTTAAAACCTCGTTTGGTAGTAATTTTTCATCAAAAAAATCAATTTTTTGATCGTTATTTTACTATTCCATCTATTATTTTTTATTTTTTCGTTCATAGGTGGAACCTACTTTTCTTTTTAACAGTCAAAAAAATCAATTCTAATAATTACGGCCATCATTCAAATTTTTTTTTCTTTCATAAGCATTTCCTGAAAATCAGATCAGTTACTTAGGCAAATAAAATCGAAAACAAAGTAACCACATGTTCGTTCATTTTGCGAAAAAATTGTCCTAGGGTGCAGAATCATTTTCTTCGAACATTTTGCACGACTTTCTTCATAAAATGGTTGTTCATTCGACCAAATTTTGCCAAGAATTTGTGCGTAAAAAGTGAAATTGATTTTTTTTTATATATATATCTTTAAAAAAATAGAATTGAAAGTGAAAAAAATCAACTAAGTTTGAAATTTTGGATTAGGTAGTGTTTTGCCACCCTTAGAAAAATTATTTAAGGAAATTAACGTCTATGAAATTATGTTAGGAAGGTCAAAATATGTAAAGGTTGATTCTGGAAGAATTTGTTAGAGACACTAAAGGTTAAGGACTGATATGAAACTTTTTCCATAAATGAAGGAAAAATAAAACAATGGCTGGTTGGAGCAAAAGGCAAGGATATGCCAATTGTAAAATTTTTAGCACCACTAGCAAACTGTCGTTTTACATTTTATGATCTATTTTTCAGAATTTTCAATTATTCTACGCCTAAGACAGCCTCTCTTGTACCTTGTCGCCCGTTAAGTCTGATGAAATCGTTATTTCTGAAAAAAAAACAAAAAACAAAAAACAAAAAACAAAACTATTAGACACCAAATGACGTGAAAACTATGTATAAAGAATAAATGATTTCATTTTTATAAGTTCAATATATAACTAAAACAAAAAAATATTTAAGTCTAACAAAAAATATAACGCAATCTACTTTAACAAAAATTGTAAATGATACACGATGTCATGTATTTATAATGAGATAAATCATTAAATATATTAATGATAAAAGGAAAAAATAAAATACTTACTTTAACATTCTCCTAAAAAAAATTGTTCTTAAATTAATTGTTGATTCTATTTTTTGAATTCTCGTTAATTGAAATTTGATAGTGGAGTACTCTTTGATGAGCTCTATATCAATTGTAGACTTTAAACACCAAACGAAAATAATTTTTTATTGATAAAATAAAATTTTACACAATTTTTTATACACACCACGATCATTAATCTTTGTTTTTTCTTGTAAAAAAATTCATAATCAATTGTTCCTTTTACGTATCTTAAGATTCGTCGCACACTCTCAAGATTTGGCTTCTTCGACTTTTCCATGAAGCGGCTTGTTATCCCAACTGCGTATGGGATGTCAGGTTGTGTTAGCGTTAAGTAGATAAGCTTCCCACTAGTTGTCGATACATAGTTACCTAATGATGTTCTTCGCTACTGATAGGAGATTTTTCTTCATCCTTGGCACATGCTAGACGTCTTGTAACTGTACCTGACTAGGACTAAAGCGAGGTTTGATAACTGTCTTACCAATGTGAGCTATTGGCAATCTTGAATTATTGGCAGTTATCACCATTCGACTTTCTTTGGTGTAGTCTTATCTCTTATGTGTTCTAACAACTCTTCTTCGATTGTCGTTTTTATAACGAACAAAGCCTTACCCACTTTTTCAGAGCTCCAGCCTCCTCTGACGATGTCAAGTCACTTCCGCCAACTACATCTCACGGGTCTTACCTTTGGAGATACGACTCTATGCAAGTTTGTCATGTAGTATAATTCTGATTATTGAACTTCTTTATTCCACCTACTGCTTGTAGGTCGCTCATCATGACTTGATATACCTCCTCGTAATCAAGCAAGCTTTACAAAAAGCTTCACAAACTCCTTTTGTGCACAAACTCAAAAAGCTCAAAAAATCATTCCCTAACCACCTTGCTCTGATACCAAATTGAAGAGTTTAAACCCAAAAATACAATATGACCCTTGGACACTATTCAAGACAATATTGAGACCACTATTACACTTCTTATTTTTCTCTCACACTCACATACACACCACTTATATCTATATTCTTCTACTAACACTCTCTAATTCTTCTCACTCACTTCACTCTCATTTAACCATGCACCATCCCCTACTTGTAGTGGTAAGTTGGTGGTGACAAATCTTGTACAGAAAGTTGATGATTCTAGATAATTCCATTAATTGATTATAAGTCATTTTCCTATAGAGATCTAGAATGATGATGGGTATTATCTTCAATGTATCTCCAGATTTTTCTATGATTGAGGAGGGATAATAAAATTGGTAAATCCTAGATAAATCTAGAAAATTCATGCCAAAGTTGGTAATGATTTCTTCAATTTTGCATTGGAAGAGCTGATTCGGATATTTCAATATGTGAAACCATTCATTCCACTACGAATATTTCATAAATGAAATCATTAGGAAGCACTTAATTACTAGAACTAAAATTGAATATGAATAGTTAGTTCTATAGTTTGAGTTTGATTTATAACATTTTTTAATAAACCATGAGTTTACAATACAAAGTACCCTCTCAATATCTAGCAAAAATAGAAGAAATAAAATATGTTTGCAAATAATATTTAATATGTAGCAAAATATGCTAACAAATTACATCTAATATCTAGTAGAGCATAAATATTAAATTACATACCCAAAGAACAAAATTACATTGACAAACCAAAATAAAAAGGAAGTACTAGATTTTACAAATGCTAAGAGCTTGTTTGGTACAGTTTAAAAGCCAATTAAAATCAATTTTTTGACCGTTATTTCACTATTCCAGTCGTTATTTTTGAATGCTTCTCTTACAAATAAAACCCACTTTATCTCTAACGGTTAAAAAATCAATTATCAAAATCCCTATCAAACAAACACTAAATGTAACATAAATTCATTCATCTAGAAATAGCATTATAATCAACATTGTTGATTTTTCTTTCTATCACATCATTTTCTTTACATCTCATCGGGTCAGAAATAAATTGTAAAAATTAAAACCCAAGGCTCAACCTCTATCTCCTCTGACATCAACCTTCACTATATGCCCCTTCTCCTCATTCTTAGGCCAACAAGCTTGACCAGTTGGCACACACGTATGCTATGAGTATGATGTTAGGGAAATACATCCATATGATCATATCATTAGTGTACTCTTTGGTAAAATAGGCCACGCACCTTGCTGTTAGGGATCTTACTGTATTGAATGGGGAGATAAGCATTCTCACACGTGACAATAGGAAATAAGAATTATGGACATCCGACACATATAATTGACAAGTTAGATTTAAAAAGTTTTTGTAGACACGTAGTTATGAAATTTCAATAAAAATTGGATTTTTCTAATTTTCGAATCTAATCTCTAGTTTCGCAAATGTTTATGCTAGTGTCCAAGAATATGTTTGGCAAATGTTTATATATATGTCAAATTTGTGGAATTCCCAAATATTATACAATTATATTCACTTCAATTTGTTTACAGACACATCTTTTATAGACTAATGTGATTGAAAGTAGTCATTGTCCTTAGATTGTGTTGGGCCCAAATCCATTTGTCCCTTCAACTGCATGTAGACTTA